GGTAATTTTTAAGTTTCAAGGCTTCTCTTGTATGCCTCACTTGCTGTCTTAGACTTTCCGTGGTACTACTTAGGTTTTATGCTCCATTATTTAAACATTTCACCAATCCTATGTTTACTGACATACGATGGGTGGGCTGATCGGAAATCCAAATATTGGTTTGAATGTGTGGGTTTCCTGTAAACACTACTGTTTAACTTCCAATCTTCTTTCCTTTTTACACTATAGTCTAACATTGGAAGCTCCCTACTCTTTCTGACTTTCCAATTCATAAGTGAATTGAATTGCCTCCACGTTCGGGTTGATATGTTCTAAGTACAGTGAATGTATCATCTACATACCTCCATCATACTTTTGGTGTGGATGGGGGTGAACGTCTCAATCACTAAGTTTTCCCAGCTATCAATGAATATATCTGCTACAATCGGGGATATCGCTGACCTCATGGCAACTCCCTCAGTTTGTTTGTATATTTTCCATTGGAATTTAAATACTGTGCAAGTCAGGCATAGCTGTACTCCTAGCATTATGTCCTTTAGTGGCACTTTCGTCCTAAGTTCAAATTCTTGGTCAGAAATGAGTTTGTTTCTGACTGCCTCCATGGCCATATTTATTGGTGCACGTGTGTATAAACTGACAATGTAAAAACTAACCATTTTCTCTTCATTATCTAATTTTAAATTGTCTAATCAATGTTTTATTTCATAAGAATTTGTAAGTCTAGATTTTGAGTGGCTTTGAAGAGGATTTATTACCATAGCTAAATATTTAGATAATTCATAAGTAGGTGAATTTCTTAAATCAACTATAGGCCTAATAGGGTATCCTGACTTTTGACTTATTGGTATTTAATAATTTATTTGACCTGCTGCCTACTACTGTAATGACAGAAGATAAGCGCCAGGCAACAGATCGTTTATTGAGAAAATCGACAGATATTTATAGTTTTTTACGAGTTGATCACGGACTGATATCAATTAGAGAACCATTGAAAACCAGGGAGTACTGGACAGCTGCTGTTTCATCCTAGTTTGGGAATCATCTGCAGTACGTACCCACTGGGATTTGAACCCAGGACCTTCCGGTTACAAGGGAAGCTCGTATACCATTCAGCCACTGGGACCCGATCCGTCAGTGGCCACTACATGAATTCTAACTTCTACCAATTCGTGATTTAGCGTGACTCCAACCATTGTCGTTGGTGGGACATCCATCCACACACGTGACATCTAATTGGACCTCACTGGTTACGACTTCTCACTAGAACTCCAGGAAGCTTCATCCTGTACTGCCGATGATTCCCAAACTAGGATGAAACAGCTGTCCAGTACTCCCTGGTTGGTTTTCAATGGTTCTCTAACTGATATCAATCTGTGATCAACTCGTAAAAACATAACAAACCCTTACAAACCAAACTATAGAAAATTAATCTGATGCTCGCTAGTGACTTGCTACAGGATGGAGTTTCCTGGAGTTCTAGTGAGAAGTCGTAACCAGTGAGGTCCAATTAGATGTCATGTGTGTGGATGGATGTCCCAACAACGACAATGGTTGGAGTCACGCTAAATCACGAATTGGTAGAAGTTAGAATTCATGTAGTGGCCACTGACGGATCGGGTCCCAGTGACTGAATGGTATACGAGCTTCCCTTGTAACCGGAAGGTCCTGGGTTCGAATCCCAGTGGGCCATCGTATTATCAACAAAGACTGACAGATGGGCAAAAGGAAATGAGGATGAATTGGACATACCCATGAGGAAACCATTGACTGACATCATAGACTAATTAGGCCATTTGAGTGCAAGCCGAATTGGAGGCGATAAGTTGAGTGTGAATCTTGGGGTGACGTGGAGGCGGTCGTGTGAGGCAGTGGAGGAGGGGATGAAAGACAGTGGACACTCATGGAGCCAGCTGAAGGGTTATGCAGAGAATAGAATGTACTGGGGATGGGCTGTTGAAGCTCCATGTTCCACTCGGAACCCAAAGGAATAACAGGAATAATAATAGTGATCATAAAATAATATTTGATCTGATGTTTGACTTTTTATCAATGTGACTTACTTTTTAATCTCTTAGCAGTATTTCTATTGATCTCAGTTTCATCTAAAAGTACCAGGCTTCTAAGATTTCCCTGGCATTCATGTACCTGTACCTTTTTTGTATAATATTTGTATGTTTTTTTCCCACGGAGAATTTCTGTCCATAGCTAACTGCATGCATTGATATATGAAGGAATGATTATCACTTGTCTGTTGACGGACGGACAGATGATGTCTATCGATGAGATGGGGGAAACAACGTCCAATCTGACAAATAAAATGTGTTTTTTTTTCAGCTGTTGTAGATCATACTGGTTTTGTATTCATTTGTTGTTACATCTTTCGACTGACATATTTCGGAAGTGAAATGATTTTGTTGGCTAGTGGACGGCGGCATCTATTCAGAGCGTTTCCAACAGTCCGACAATGATTTTAGAAATTTAATATATATATATATATACATATATATAGTAAGACAACTTTATTCAACAGTTGTACGACAACGGCACATGTCAAGTGATCCACAACAGAAAACTCAGCAAGGCGTTGGCAGTAAACACAGGAGTCAGACAAGGGTGATTATTATCACCAATGATATTCCTAATTGTGTTGGACTGGATTAGGCGTCAGACAGTGGGAAACGACAAGACAGGGATATCGTGGACCACCGACGTGAAGAACCTAGAAGACCTGGATTTCGCGCGTGGATGATTTATGTTTGATGTCACACAAAACCGAAGACTTACAAGCGAAAACCGACAAACTGGTCGGAGAAGCAGCCAGAGAAGACAGGAATCCAGGTGAACATGGACAAGACGGAGGCTATGAAAATAACCAACCAACATAAACAGCAGCAGCAACATCCAGCGCCAATCACCATCAACGGGAGGGATTTGAAAGAGGTTACTTCATTCACTTGTCTACGGAGGGAGCATTGTCTCAACTACACGAGGAACCGACAAGGATGTCAAATCGAGAATCGGGAAGGCGAGAAACACATTCATCAACCTGAAACCAATCTGGAAATCTTCCGCTGTCACTCAACTCAGCATCAACAACAAAATGATTCGGATTTTCAACACAAACGTCAAGTCAGTCAGTTCTTCTATACGGATGGATCAGAAACTTGGCCAGTGTGTCACAAAGAATATTTCCAACAACCTGTTGCACACCTTTATCAACAACTGTCTTCGCTGGCTTTATACTCAAGATCAGATGGCCGCCGGAAAGAACAAGAACCAACAAGAAACTATGGGAAGAAAGAAAACAAGAACCAATCGCTCAACAAATATGGATTGGACACTAGCTAAGGAGGCCTTTGTGTGACATCGCGCGTCAGGCCATTGCTCGAGTGGAACCCGAATGGGAAGCGGCGAGTGGGACGTCAGTGCAAGGGTGATATGGAGGAGATCGTGTGGAGAGGAGCTGAAACAGTATGGACTAACATGGATGCAAGTGAAAAGTACAGCAGAAGACAGAAGCAAGTGGAGACGTGCACAGTTGAAGCTCTATGTTCCATTAGGAACCCAAGGGAACTATAATAATCGTAATAATAATACAACACATGATTTCAACCAATAATACATTATTCGCTTTCAATTGCCTCTATCAGCTTACTCATTCATCAATAATAATCACATGGTTTTTTACTTTGTCTTTTTCATTTTCCAATTATTCAACATTCCATGTTGACTGAAATGTTTGAACGAAACTCAAAAACTTTCAAAAATGAAATAATCAATTTAAACAAACCACTACCAGTTGAATGAGTGAGTGAGTGAATTAGTTAGTTAGTTAATGAATTCCAACCAATGACATTTTACAGTGGTGCACAGTTCATCAGTCAATTTTGACTGTGTGAAATTCACTACCACTCGTCCCTACACCCCCCCCCCCCACACACACATTCACACACAGTACACACAAGAGTATATACATCGATATGAGCACATAACATAAATGTTAAGTGTACACCTAACATGACACAAATATCAATGCCATGCTATATCAGTGCTATGCTCTGATGTACTCTGATGTACTGTGTGGTATAACCCGCATAATAAAAACGAATTCTATTTTCTCCAGTACTTATTACGACAACACACACTAACACACACACACGCACGCCTACGCACATTAAGAGACTAAGTAAATTGATTTTACACATTCCTGCTCCTTAATAATACACTATGTATATGAGATCACCCACATGATGAATACAAATATACAAATCCATTTACAAAAATACACACACACATACATGCGGAGAATGTGTTTGTGTGCTGCAGATGAGTTGTGTGAGTGCCTGTGTGGGTGACTGGTTGGTTGGTTCGTTGGTTGGTTGGGTAAGTGGGTGTCTTTCTGTGTTACTTTCTGTGATATGTCATGCTTAGCTTAGATAACACATAAAGTTCTACTCTAGTATGAATGATTTATGCGCAAAGCAAAGATAATGTGGAATCCAATGTGAAAACCAGTATATATACATATATATTTTTGTATATTCATTATAATTCATTGGTGAGATTAATTGAAGGAAGGGAGGAATCCTTCGGACACCTTTCCTACACACTGAACTGAAATATTTTGTCCCAAAGAGAAGAGGAGGAGAGAACATGTTGGAAATACTCAATACTACGAGAATATCAGTCTACTTCAACGGATACTATTGAACATTGAATTTCGTTTTACGCGCTACAAATTGAACATTGATCAATGCCATTATTATTAGTATTATTTTGGTAATTTTTGAAGGAAAAATACAACCCAAAAATAATTAAAAATACTTGATTATATAAACAGTAAGAAATAATTGTGTAACAATATTAATAATAATAATAATTAATCATATTTTGGAGTAATCAAACCGAACGCTACAAATAGAGTACATTTGTTTTGCTCATTTTTAAAAATTTCCGATAAATTTAATTCTAATAACATAAGAAGAAAAAAACCAGCGAAAATGGGTTGGTTGCAACGACTTAGTAAGAAAAAGCATAGTGAAAATGAGGTGAGTAATACAATTTACATATTTACTATTATTATTGTTATTATTATTATTTGTATGTTTCATTAGTTTCAGTTCCCAGTGGAACAACATAAGGTTTTAAATTTGAACTCTCGAGTTTCAATTGGGGTGGTGTTCGCCCTTTTTACGGTGTGACTAGGGTTGTTGACCTGAGGGCCAAACCCCTGTGCCTTCTCTGCGATGATTACGGGGTTCGTAAATTAGGCGAATCGAACCCGAAAGTCTCACGTGAGTTGTTGGTGAGCATTTTAAGGTGGAACGACTGAATTACTTTTCTAATTTCTCAATGAAATGCGTTTTTTCTCTGCTATTGCTTCACATCCCCAGTGGAACACTACGGCTTCAGGCCTAGATCTTTGACGCTTCGATAGCAGTGGGGTATTTATTTTTACGGGATGGGGTCGCTAACCAGCCTCATGCCCAACCTTCCCTCCTCTTACCAGTCTTATTACTGCCTTAACGAGGTAAAGGAGTGCGTCCAGTGGCCGGGAGTCGAATCCCAAGCCACATGAGGCGGCGTGGTTGGAGGCGAGCATTCTACCTCTATGCCACCGACTCACTCAATGAAACGTAAGAATTTCAAAATAATTAGTGGAGATTTACAGCCTAGATGGATGTGCTTGGTGTCGTTACATTCTTTCAACCGAATAGTTCATTGAACCATTGAAGACAATGTCCCATTGTTGACAATTTCAGTGTGTATTTATCAGCTCACTTAGTCCTATCGAGTTGAGTACATAGGCCTTACCAGAAGGACATTCATTATCTTGGAACATTCATGAATGCATATCAGTATGGCTGTGGTGAGGAGTAACGCAGAACAGTAAACAGCTCGAATCTAGAGCATGTCATTATTACTCCTGGTCACACAACATCAGAAAAGACTTCATTCACAGTCATAAATATACAGTTAGATGGAGGTGATCACAAGAAGGACTTCTCATGCATCTTCTTCATGCAGTCGAAGTTTTGACAATCCAAAAGGGAAAAACCTGAACTTTTGTGTTCAGAGACGTTTTATCCAGCCTCTTGCACGACTTGGCGATGGACTTAGTGTCAATTTTTGTTTTCCTGAACAGTCACATAATCTCAAGTATTGGTTTTTGTAGGGATTTTGTTTGATTGGTTGGGGGGTTTCATCATGAGCTGACATCAGTTAGAGAACCATTGGAAAACCACCAGTGGAGTATTGGGCAGCTGTTTTGTCATCCCGGTTTGGGACTCTTCACAGTACGCACCCACCGAAGCTCAACGGTCTACTAGCTTGCCTTGTAACCAGGATGTCCTGAGTTCGAACCCTGGCAGTGGTTGCGTACTGTGAAGAGTCCCAAACTAGGCTGACGAAACAGCTGTTTAATACTCCCAGCTGGTTTTCCAATGGTTCTCTAACTGATGTCAGCTCATGATGAAATCCTCTAACCAGTCTCATAATCAGCTCCATGTACTTCTTTCTACTTCCTTATTTTTGTAACCCACTTTCAATCCTTTGTTCCCTTATTTCCGATCAATTATTTCCACATGATTATTCATCATGTAACTGATTAGTTGTCAACACACACTCTCTCTCTGTTTCTCTCTCTGTCTTATGATCACGAAAGTTTGCTCACTATTTCTCCCACATTCTTATTTACAATACACTTGGAGGCAACAGTAAAGAATAGGCACCAAAGTCACATGACCTTGAATTAACCAATCAGATCTCTCGACATTTCAAATGGAGGCTTTTCATAATCATCTTCGCTGCAAGTGTTATCCTGATTCAGGATTAAGGGATTTAGGGTGAAACTTGCAATGAGGATTATGTAAAGCATCTATTTGTAGTGCTGATCGATCTCATTGGTTGGTGGGTAAAGGTCAAATGACGACAGTGTCTATTCCCTACTGTTGCCCACTTTGATTTATTCTGATCTCTTTTGTGAATTATCACTGTACGATGTGAAGAGCGCGGGCTGCTTTCGCTAACTTACACCATCTCTGGCGTAGGCGTGACATCCAGCTATTAACCAAGGGACGTGTGTATTGCTCAGCAATTCGCTCCGTCCTTCTCTATGACTGGCTCTGAAACATGGCCAATACGAGTTGAAGACATGAAAAGGTTGACTGTTTTTGATCATAGATGTCTACAATCTCTTTCTCACTTTAGGTGGTAAAATGAGGTAAGTAATGCTGGCGTTAGACGTAGAGTGTTGGGCAAAGAGGGAAAATCAATCAACGAGGCTATAAAGTTACATAGATTGAGATGGCTAGGTCATATGCTGCGCATGCCTAACCATCACCTCCCACGACGGGTATTACTAGCTGATATAGGTGCAGGTTGGAAAAGAGTAAGTGGTGGCCAAACAAAAACATGGCCTCATCAATCCATGAAATCCTTGACAGTTAAACTGAGTCATGTAGGGAGGGAGATGCAGACTTCCGGGTTGGGGCCCGGCCCGCCCTCGGGACTCTAAGAATCAATGGCTGGAGGCAGACAATAGGTGACATGGCTCAAAATCGTTGTCAATGGCTTACGCAGATGTATTCAGTCTCTGTAATCTTCGATATTCCTTTCTACCATTACTCATTCACTTTGTTTCACTCTTACACTTAACAAACTCTATTGATTCTCTTCACTCATCTTCTTGTCTACCTTTGTGTGCTATTTGGAACGTGGCAACTCGAACTGCTGCACTTCGGTGCCAAGTTCTATGTTGAATCCAGACCAGAGAGACCAGTACGATGGGAATATCTCAATAACTAATTATAAAGCTTTCAAATGGAGTTATGAAAAGAGGCGATCTCTTTTGATGACATTAGATGGTTGGAGACAATTGGCCATAGGAAGCCCTACTAGTACAGCTGACTGAATTCTTTCAGTCAGGTTTGCAATGTGGCCGCCATTCTAGGTAGTTCACTATCACGGTGCACATTGATTTGATGATATTAAATGCTTGGAGGCAATCGGCCACAGGAAGTCTTGGACACCACCTTGGTTTCGAGCTAGTTAGCAGTCACCAGTCAGTAAGGTGTATCTGAAACCTTGAAGGAACAACTCTTGTCTCACCACTCTGAGGCTAGAACCCGCGTCACCCAGTGCTGACTGCAGTTAGAGACACTACCACTGAGCTATTTGAGCTCGCCACTGACCTCCTGTAGGACTGTATTGGATATGTTTGATTGGACACGTTTGTAAATAACCTGTGTAATGTGTCCTGTGCTTCAAATTGAAGTACGCGCTGAAGATGTTGCCTAGTAGGGCAATGAAAGTTTCGCAAATAAACTATCTAGCTCAGAGAACACAACCACATCAAAAATCATCCGCCTGAGCTACAAATCTCCTCCAACATAACTAAAGAAAGGACTAGACACATTACACTAGTTATTTTTACTAGTGTCCAATCAGAAATATCCAATACAGTCCTACAGGAGGTCAACTGCGAGTCCGAGTAGCTCAGTAGTAACGTCTCTGACTGCAGTCAGCACTGGGTGACGCGGGTTCTAGCCTCAGAGTGGTGGGACAAGAGTTGTTCCTTCAAGGTTTCACATACACCTTGCTGACTGACTAGTGAGTGCCAACTAGCACGAAACCTAGGCGGTGTCCAAGGCTTGGTGTGGCTGATTGCCTCCAACCATCTAATATCACCAAAGTTCTACATTGAAAATTGCTCAGTCAGTAGCTCTATCCTAACCTAGTGTGTACATCTTTGGCGTAGACGCGATATCCGACTGTCGATCAAAGGGCGTGTGTACTGCTCAACAGTCCACTCCGTCCTCCTTTATGGCTGTGAGACCTGGCCATTGAGAGCGGAAGACATGAAAAGATTAGCTGTCTTCGATCATAGGTGTCTGCGTTCTATCTCCCGCGTGAAGTGGTATAATAAGGTGAGCAATATTGAGGTTAGGCCATCGGTCGAGTGCTAGGTAAGCAGAGAAATCAATAGACGAGACTGTGAAATTACATCGACTGAGATGGTTAGGACATGTGTTACGTATGCATGCCTAGTCATCGCCTTCCTCGACAATGGGCAATGTTAGCTGATATAGGGCCAGGCTAGAAAAGAGCTACCGGCAGTCAAACGAAAACATGGCTTCACCAGTCAATGAAATCCACAACAGTTAGTCTAAGCCAGCCACGTAGGAAGGTGTAGACTTTCTGACTGGTTGGGGTCCTCGAGACGGTAAAAACCAATGGTTGGAAACAATTGGTGATATGGCTCAAAATCGTTCTCAATGATTGGCGCAGATGCATCCACTCCTTGTGACTAATGATTTCCAATGAAACTATATTGTTCTTCGTTATTACTATTCCTTTGTCTCACACCTCTGTTTACTGTCTCTAATATGCATTTCTTCTACTTTCTTCTCTTCCTTTGTGTGCTACATGGAGGGAGATTGGCGACTTGAACTGGTGCACATCGGTGCAAAGTTCTATGTCGAAAACCGACCGACCGACCGAGTGTGTACATCACTGCATGTACTACGCTTGTTGAACTTTTTTATTGTTTAAATTATTTTTCTTCCTGGAGTGAATCATTCTATAATTAGCAATATTACTATTTTTGGACAGTCAAACTGACACCGATCTACTTCCTGGATTGTTGTCATTGTCATTACAAGGTAATGTGCAGATTAAATTATTTTCTCTAAACTTATCAACTAGATCTTTTAGACTACACATAAATAAGAAACAATTTAATGCAGTTATAATTTTAAAAAAAGCAGTATTTATAACTCTACATATTAGAGTGGCAAAGTAAGAACCATCGCGTTCCATGGAATGTGAACGCACTGGTGACCTTGAGTCGACCAATCAGGAAATAAAATGGTTTTTTGCATAAAAGTCACGTTTATTTTTAGGAGAAGTACATGAAAACATATTAAACAGGATATTTTTCGATGACATGACTTAAAAATACCTCCAAATTATAATGTGGAGTGTCAGCTTTCAAGTTCAACCAGTTTCTATGCATATATTCACCGAAGTAATTGAAGATGAGTTATTT